TGGTGGAATATATTGTACTTTGTGGTCCAACTAGCACAACTAGCTAAACTATGAACAAATGGAATCAACTCTTCACCTGTTGCAAAGAAATAACTAATTCCATGCAGCATAACTTACCTGAACAGAGACAAAACAGAGATGGACAGATGTCCACGCAGGAGACAACTTTTGTCTCTATGTGCTGCAGACACAACGGACAGACGATGAGGAGATCCCTGTGGAGGAGACCAAGCAGGAGCAGCAGCAAAGGGAAAAAACACAGACAGGTTTGTTAGTCAGTGAAGCAGACCAGCAGCGTGCAGTTAGGTCCCCCCGCGGATGGACAGTGTTCCGACCCAAAACCACAGGCACACTGCCAGTTTATATGGCTGCATGCTGCACCGAGGTGGCACATTCTGGGAGTGGAGGTGAAATGCCACACATGGAGCCTGGTGTGGAAAGTTAATGAAAGAGCCACAGACCAATGGGGAGGTCATAGCATTTCTCTCACACCTCTAAATTGACCTGCCCCTGCAACGAGTTTAGACAAGGCTGTTAGTTTTATGGGTCAATTTTTGTTAGTAGTTCATTCCTGATAATAACAAAAGCAGATTAGTTAAGAAATAGTTAATATAATCATTTGGTAATGATTGCACATCACACTGTAGAGTGACTGACGACCTCAGGTTTGAAGGACAGAAGTTGAAGTTGGATAACTTATTAACCGCAGCAGAAACTCAAAACATGAAAGGAAGCTTGGCTTGGAATCAACCTGTTTGTCTTCTTTGTATATTCTTCATCATCTGATGTCAATCATATTCCTCTTGGTCTGAACTGGTTTGATTCAGCTAGATATAACAAGGCTAAAAATGACTTTAGTCAAACGCAACAGAGAAAATTATTTTAACCTTTAATCTTCCTCAGTTACACTGCAAGTATATTTTTAATATATTTTTAAGTAAAATGCATCAAAATCGTAAAGCCACAGACAGTTTTGTGCAGGACGACTGATCTGCGAAGTAGCTGGTCCAATAATTCAATTTTTTTCATCATATAATATAAACAAACACACAGCTTTTTGGTTACTAGTTAAATGTCTCAAGCGTCTACAATGTGAAAAAAATGAATTATTTAAATTAGTTTTGACCTTTGTTGATGAAGTACAGTGGTTTTCTGTCAATGTCTCAATGAGCCAGACATTCCATGTCATTTGATAAAAGCACCATTTATCTCACTCATCATCCTTATCACACCAAAAACATGCCTGGAATTGATAAGCACATCTTTCTAACCCTTTCTTTCTCACTGGAATTATCTGCTGCAATTCAGCAACAGCATAGCTTGATAAATAAACAACCAATCTCACTGATTCTGGGTTAAGACAGCTGGAAGGCAGACACCTAGATCAAGACATGTGACTGATGTCATCCATGTAAAGGATTTGGGTGTTTGTCTGTTCTGCCCCTGGTTTTTTAAATGGGTAACATTATGTTCAGACATGTGGCTGTCACGGGGCTGATAGGAAGTGGTTCACAAGTGTCCAACAGTCACTCCAGAGTGACTCCATCAATTTCAAAACAGCAAAAAAAAAAAACTAAAGAAAAGTCACAGAAACAGAGGGGATTGACCAGAGAAAATGTCAGAGATCCATGTCTGAAAAAGGACAAGTCAGCCTTGTTCCCACACACACACACACAGCTGTTCCCTCAGCTCAACCACATCAGTTAGGCTAAGTTGGGTAACGACCGCCTCCAGCTCCCAGCTGCCCAGTATACACAGAAACATGCTGCACACACGCCTCGACTGGCTTGGCACAACCTGTTACATGTTTTTCCCAGTCAACTGAAAGTCAACTTCTGCTGGTGTTTTTACGTAGGGTAGGGTGTATTCTATAGGTCACAGTACATATATGTTTGGTTTGTTTTTTAGAAAACTGATTTAAACACATTTATTCAGAAAATGTACAAAAATAATCACTTGGATTATGGCAAATTAAAATGGAATTAAAAAATGACAAAAAGAGATAAAATGTACTAATTCATCTGTAAACATCCAAATTGTTTTTTAAAATATATATATTACAGTATTTTAACATACAAAATGATGCAATATTATTATAGACGATTTGTTCTTTGTTCACAGCAGATCTCAGGTCAGGTCTTTTGGTTTTTATAGGAGGGTAATACATGTGATGTATGTAGTAGTTTCCATCGACTCCATGGAAAAAAGTAACCTTCTCTCCACTGTAGTGGAATAATCCTCCTGTCCCAGGACGGCCTGTCGCTGTGCACCTCACATCTCATCTCCTGTTGTTAACTTAGCCTTTAAAACGTGGGCCAACCAGAGGACAGCTGACCGTCTAAGGGAGACTTAACATTCTGCAATGACATATTTCATCTTTCCATGAAATTCAACTCACTTGGAAGGATCTAAAGTTTACAAGCCAAATGTAGCGAGCTGGGGGGGATTTGGGAGGGATTCTGCCCCTCTGCTCCACTGGAGCTCCTACAACAATAGAGTTTTATTAACAACAGACCATTTTCTATGATGCAGGTCATCTGACCAGATTGTGCACTTGTCACATTTAGTTCTGATTTCATCCACTGGGTTCATAAATTTGGACTTGGGGACCCCACTAATGGCATTGTAATGACAGAGGCTCTTATATCATGCTTTAAGTCAGTAAAGATGAGGGTTATTTCAAAATGCAACAGGGTGGAGGATTACTGTAAATGCTACACATGAGCACAAAGCACTGGAGTTAGCTTATAGTACTTTATAGAGTTAGTTTAAACCAAGCTTAGTGTTTTTTGACTATTAATGCTTAAATAAAACAACAACAATATATAGGGCAAGTGACTTTGGTGTTAAAAGGGGAACAGGATATGTAAAAACAAAACCTGCAAACGTCATGGTCACAGTAGAATTCAATTTACTTCATTTTTGAAGTAAAAAGGAAACAACCATCCAAATTAACATGACAAAGGTATACTGACAACCACGACTGCCATTTTAATCCTCTGGTGACAAATATAAGAGTTTTATTTTAAACCAAAACACAATCAGAGACACAGTAGAAGAACATCCTCCCTTCAGGTTCGACTACTTGGTCAAAATGATTGACACCTGCACACAGAGAGTCCACTGAACCAGCCCGTCCCACTGTCAGGGCGGCTACAGAACTGGGAGAGCATGTTGGGGAAATAATTACAAAACATATTGGCAAATTTATTACAAATAACCATGAGCTCATTGTGGATAGTTTTGCTGTCAATTATGCAAACATTCGACAACAACAAGCCGCGCGCCAACCACTGGTGGCCCAGCATGCACTTGTAAAGTGTGTAAGAAATAGGAAAGAATTCTCTTGCTACTGGCGAAGTGGAATCTGCTGACAAGTAAAGCCATATGAGCACAGCACACAAAACAATGATTTAATGCCAATACCTCAAAAACCTGTTTTGGATTGGATTGTTTGTAAAATGTTAACGAGGTCTAAAATGAGGCAGTAATCATATAAACTCTTCAATGTAGACACAGCTATAAAATTAGTCAAATTCCTTATCTACGGTAAATGTCAGAATATTCATTTGATTCACCAGGTTGTTCTGTTTCTAAACAGGTAACGGCATTTTTTTTTTACATTTAAATAAAACTATATTAGTTCTTCGTGCTACTCGGCTGTACCAATCAAACTCGGACTTTTAAAACTTTTTTTAAATCTTCCCGGTGAATATGGTAATCGGTACAAAACGATTTTTCGGTCTGATCAGTTTGCAATGACTAACTAACTGCAGGTGCAAACATGTGCTGATGGACAACAGGTGAGATCTCTTACTTGTTGAAGCTATCCAGAAGAACCTTCTGGAGCTTGAAGAACGTCTTCCTTTACCAGGTGTTCAAATGTGAGTCTTCAGAAAGAGAAAGAAACCAGGATAGTCCTTAATTTAAACCACCATTAACTCAGACATGTCACTGGTTTACTCCGAGGTTAGCCGTAGCTCCTCTCTGGGATCCGTGCGCTCAGCAGCACGACGGTTTGGCTGTTTTTCTTAGTTTCTCGCTGGAAAAGTAAAAGTTTATCCTCGAGTTTGAGACAAAAATGTACTGAAGTACAGTGTTTTGCTCGGAAAAGACAGAAGTAGTCCTCAGCTGGCAGATACAGTGTCCTCCCCCTCTGCACTGCCGTCCGTCTGCTGTAATCAGATGCTGTTCTCCACAATATCCATTCATCCTATTACACAGTTAACCCTTTACTCGCCGCAGACTCTGTAGCTTTATGATGCCTTCATAGACCCGTCGGAAAACGTAAAATCATCAGTAAAAGATTTCTTTAAAAAATACACAACTGACCTGCATGAGAGACGGCCATTGAAACTGTTACTGTGGACAGAAGTCACTAACAACAAAATATCGATACAAATTCGTACTATAAAGAAACAGAAATTGCCCATGACGTTAAAAGGGCAACTCAGATCTTAATGTGTAGACGTAGAGGTATGGAGTACAGCACTTTGACCTGTCTTTTTTTTTTTTTTTTTACTGAAAATGTTTCATAGACGCAATCTTCCAGACCAAAGTCCACAAAGAAAAAAAGGGAGTTTATTTCAAGGCAACACAAAAACTGTTGGTTTACTGCTGCGACATTTGCCATGTATGCCACGTACTCAAATTCAAATAGAAAAGTTCACACACTGAAAGTTACAAAACAACACATTTGTTCTTAATAACAGAGCCAGTAATGGCGAAATATTTCCCTTGGGCTGTAAAATTTATGTTTTTGTTAAAGGACTTTGTAGCGAAGAGTGTGAGAAACTAATTAAACTTCTGCTTTTCAATTACAAAATCCTACAAATCTTCATAGAATACACAGTACTCTTAGCCGTTGAGGTTACAAACCTTGAGCTAACCACTCCAAGTAAACTTTAAACCACCCTCTGTCACACATGAAGTTAAATCCTTTTTAATTTTTTAAACAATACTCTAATATAAATATATTACGTTGAGAGAAATACAACTTATTTTTAATAACACATCCGGTTTATTCCTGTTTGAAAATAAATTAATTTGCCCAAGCTGTGTGATTTTTGCATTAATCAGCAAGTTCTGCTGGAGTTTTCTTTCAAAACAGCGCCATCCTCAGGAAAAAACTGTCCTAAAACGTCCCTCTATGTGGCCTTTATTTTTTGTAATAGATTCACATTAGACAAGACAAAATAAATCAAAAGATGTTTCTAAAATAAAAATAAAAAAAGAAGAAAAAAGCCAATATACAATACACATGGAAGTGCAACAGTCATTAGTGCAAACAAGAAAGGCTACAACAAAGAGTCGCTGGATTTATCCTTTAGAATTGAAGCCTAAGATACATCTGCTTGCATGTAAGCTGTAAAAATCAGATTCTTTATTTGTTGAAAATTTTGAAGTCTTTCATTTGTCATTTTATATACATTTTCTTTGACAAAGTGCAAAACATTAGCCTGTTTCTTATTCGGTCTTAAACACAGATCAGTCAGCAGGACAAAGGCAGCAGTGATTTAAGTCAGTGGTTCAAGGCGATTGTCCCCAAGAGAGAAGAAGTTAGTAGACAGAGTCAACCTTCTCTCCAAACTGTCATCGCTCCTCTGCAAGCAGCCTCCTGAAATTCTTCAGCTCACTGATGCTGGTTGAAATCCTGTGGAACATTTTTCAAACAGTTGAATTTGAAGGTATACACAAATCAACCAGATTTTAAATTAAAAACCAGCAAAAACAAAACAAACAAACAAAAAATTCTTTTTAGCCCAAAAGCTTTTTCAATTTTGAGGTTTTTGTTTGCTTTAATGAAAAACATCTGGAAAATCAGCTTTTTACACTCCAACCATCAACAGCACTTGTTATTTCATCATATTGCATGACTATGGCTAACACAGTTCTTCACAGATGGTATGAATCATCAAATGGTATCATTCTGACACTCACCGTCCAAAAGCATTGAACAGGGAGACGATCTCCTGCCTGCTGAGTTTGAAACTGGGTCGTTGGTTGCCTGAAGTGGGCAAGGCTTCAATCTGGTGCGCCGAGAATAAAATCTTTAGGGCTGTGCCTAATCCTTGAGTCTGACACAGAGAGAAAGTAAAAAATAAAATGAATTGGTATTTTGTTATGGATACAAAGAACTGATGCAACTTTCTAGTACTAAACCATAAATGCAAAGTCAACCGTCAGAGAAAACAATAATTTAATTACTATGTTAAAATTATCAATACAATTGAATTTAGTTGTAAACACACAACACAGCATGTAATACACATACACAATCTAAAGATGTCAGCTTTGCCCCCAGGCTTACAAACTAACCAGATAAACCAGAACATATGCTGTGTTTTTACACATTTTATACAGTCTGTGGTTGGAAGTTTTATCATTACAACACAGCTCATGTTTGCATGATGCCGACATGTCACTATTACTAATATGTCCAATAGTACGATGGCTACCTCTGTTAGACCCTCAATGACAGCACTTAAATTTACGACCAGATTGCTGTTGTAATGGTCCGTGTCGTCTGCACTCTCACCTGCAGTTTACCCCACAGTCGACATTTAAAGCAGCCAACACAGTCCATGATCCTGGAGATGTTGAGAAATGACAGCCTAATATCCTCCTAAGAAATACCACAAAATGGTAAAATTGAGACATGAGTGTAAAGGTCTGAGAATCAGTATTTTCATTAAATAAAAATATATTTTATCACAAGGCTGCAGTACCAGGCAATGAAGGTAAATCTGACTTTTCTGTTCTGTTAAATTATGATGAAAAAATCACAAAATACTGGTTTAGATTAACATAGGATTTTGAAAACTTTTAAAGCTCAGATTACAGAAAACAAAATCATTAATCTTTCAAGTAAAAAGTAGAAAATACAAATAACCAGCATCTTTTTTTCTGAATGAAGGGCAACTGACCTTCAGTTTTGCTGCTTCCTTTTCATCACCAGCGAACAATAACGTTTCATCAAAGTGCAGAGGAAATGATCTGAAAGAGTAAACACAAACTGCACGGTTTAACAATCACACTTTATAAAAAAATTAAGTAAATAAATTCAGTATCCAAAAAAAACAAAACAGAAACAGCTAGTCAATGACTGGTTTTGTCAACTATTGTCCAGTAGTTTAGTGAGGTTGGTTGCAGCCAAATGTCTCAGTCTCAGACCCCAGACTCACCTGGTCAGCTGCAGCACCTGCAGGAGCAGCTCTTTTTGCTCCCGGTCCTTCTCAGGTCGACCGGTGTACAGCTGAAAAGACTTCTGCTCGAAGAATGGCAGCACTTTAGCCAGGGCTCTCAGCTCTATCAGGTACAGGAAGTAGAGGTTGCGGAGCCTCTTGGGCCCCTCACCTGCTGTGAGCTCCTCATCAAAACGCTGTCTGAACTCAGCTACATTGTGACCCCACTTCTGATGCCAGCTGTCTGTGAATGAAAAACAAAATTATTGCACACAACATTCAACAGCTCTCAGAAGATGAATGCAACTCTTATTGAGTCAGAGAGGAGTTGTGGTATTTATGTCTCACCTTCCAGCAGGTATCGTGCACTCAGGTGAATGTTGATGCTGGCATGGAGGCCAGAGATGAGGCGGTAGAACGCTCTCTTCTCCACACACTGACCTGAAAGACAAATAATCTCCACTTCATCTATAGTTGTGTCACACTTTAGAATCTGTAGAATCAGTGTCAGATGCACCTCATCTTTATGGAAAACATCAGCTCACCTTGCAGCCAGCTGTAGAAAGGACTTCCTGTAAAGTAAAGTTACTGTTATTAAAAGAGGAAACAAGATGCAAAAGATGTGAGTCTGGTTTTCATGTTGAGAAAACGTCTCTTATCTTCACCTCCTGTGCTGCTCTGGTAGGGGTTGTTAGTTAGTGGTCGCTGGACAGTGTAAGGTCTATAAGATAAGAGATGAGAGATGAGAGAGTCACCATTGTCAATTTAGCTACTGGCAATACAACTACAGAAAAACATAATTTTAGATGTATAGATTTTAGATATAAAATGTTTACTCAATACTGAACGCCATTAATTTAATTTTTGTTTGAATTTACTTAAAACAGTTCTCCTCGTATATGCTGTTCCAGATGTGCCAGGCCTCAGGCCCTTTGTAGCCTGTGTAGCGCTCTGGATTCAGCAGCAGGTCGACGTATTGTGCGTCTGGGGACTCCTCATCTGAAAGTGAGAAACGTTTTAGTGAGTCAGCAGGAGGTCATACATTGTCTCATTTTTGTTTTTACTATTTTTTTAAAAACTTTGTTAAGGGCCAATTCATCAAATCCATTGGAGATAGTAGTATGGAATACACATCCCCAACCTCATGTCTTCACATGCTGCTCATATATGTTATATGGCACATTACAGTCTTTTAACCAAATATAATGTCTGCCTCACCATCAGCCACACAGAAGCGCTCAGCGTCATCATCGTATTTATTCCAGCCCAGCAGGGCTTCTTTTGTCTCTTTGCTGGTAAACAAAAGAGCAGAATTTTCCTTCAATTCCACTGTTTTTCACTAGTTTTTTGGAAACAGATATTGATATGTATTCAACACAATATTGTTTTGTTTTTTTTACATTAAAAATAAGTAAAATTAAACTCACCTTAATGACACATCCACAGCTCCCAGATGATGAGCCTTCTCACACTGCTCTAGGTCCTCGTTTGCCTCTGCTGAGTACTAATCAGACAAGAGAAAATGTTACGTTTTGTGGCTTTGGCGTCTCTGGAGTTATTATTAAAAAAAACGACTCACCTTATTTTGGTGCGATGATCTGATTCCCTCTGGAACATCACTCTGTAAACAGTCAGTTTAGTTTAGTCAGACATGAACATATGGTGTAAGTAGAAAGTAACAAGGTTTAGTAAATGAGCTGTTTCTTCCTACCTAGTTGTGTGGTCTAAAATAATCATACAATAACACTAGTGTGCACATTCTAGAAATAATTGCGTATTCACTAAACTAGGCCAACTCTAGCCCTTCCAGTTTTTAATTTTGTGTAATTAAAAATAAATTAAACTAGGCCAACTCAAGCCCTTCCAGTTTTTAATTTTGTGTAAGTAACCAATAAGGGACTCACAGGAGAACAGGGTTTCACAGCACAGTCCCTAAGACCACAATGACTCTGGACCACCCAAAAAGGACATGGCTTATCCAAATTCACCTGAAAACAAGTCAAAAGTCAACACCCTGATATGCAACAGATCAGTAACCGTATGTCTGTGTGTATTTCTGTGTGTCCGTTAGTGTACTGCACCTTGTAAAATCTGAAATAATCAGACTGTAACAGTTTCTGTAGCTTGGGGAAAAGCTGCTGGTTGTTGAAGCTGTCGATGGTTTCCACATCACAAGTACAGTCGTCCAGGTTACCTGTCACCTGGATTTAGAATAACACACACGTCTGCCTTTGACTCATCCTGTTATATGTAGTTAATTTATGTTTAGTGTTTTACTTTCATTGAGCACTGAATTTGATCATTTTTGCTTTTAAAAGAAAGCTTTTTTAGTGACAGTTATTGCTGACCTTTTTACTACTCGCTAGCATTAGCTTCTCTCTGGACGAACTATGTTTTGTCTCATGGCAAAATTCAAGTTACATTTCCTTCCTTTTTACTTCTTTTCTTATGGCTATTTTCAATCGACAATGTTCTCGTGGCTATCAATTTGTGGTTGAAATGTTTTTTTGACAGTAGTGGTCCCCAGACCATTTTATGTGATGGGTGGGAGGGGCCAATCCTGAGGACACCCCTGAATTTAACGGACCTTTTTCTCAGTTTCTTGCAACCAAGTCCATTTGAGAACAATTCTCTGGTTTTAATGTCGTTATATTTTGTAAGCATTCAAATAAGCTCTACCATTTATCAAATAAACAAATAAATAACTTAAATGTGTATAGATTTGAAACAACCAGTTTTTCTCTAGTCTACTTCATCTCGACGTGCTTGGCATTTATGATGGCTTCGGTCCAGCTGACTTATTCTGGTGTAAACAACCTATTTTCCAATTATTTAACATCTGCAATTGAGCTAAAGAGTGAATAAAGAGAATACACATTACTACATAAGCCAAACTCAAGGCTAAAGGTTGAGTAAAAACACTGACAGATGGAACTATGGAGTGAGGCTCACCTGACAGAAACACCTGCTGTCTGCAGATCTCACCACCAGGAGGAGCAGCAGCGGGAGATGGAGGACACGCACGAATCCCGACTTCATAACAAACTCTATCGTTCTCACAGTTCCAGTCGGACACGTTAAAACTCAGGAATCAGTGTTGAACTACAGTATAACAGCAACAGGAAACGTATCTGACAGAGCTACAGTAGCAGCAGCAGCAGGAGGAGGAGGAAGAAGAAGAGGAGGAGGAGCTTCCGTCTGTTTCCTCAAACCGACGCCACAACGTGTGAGACGTGACCAATCGATCACGATTACACAATCAATTCAGTGATTACACATAGCCAGGCCACACGTCGGCCCAGAAACCGATGACTGTATATTTGAACTAGGTTACACAAAAATGAACTACTAATACACGACTGACAACAAGCCTCCATCTCTATAATGTTTAAGCCTGAGACTTTGATGATGGTTGGTTTAAAACCAACTGGTTTAAAAACGCCCAGTTCATTTATTTGTATACATATATAATGTTTTCGATATTTCTATAGAAACTATGATCGTGTAGTGGCATGGATCAACCGCAAGATGGAGCAAAGGGATATTTAAATGATTAAATAGACATACCCCTACAGTACAGTACATGTTTTCATAGCAACATTGTTGGGCAGTTCAACAAGTTAACAGTCGAAGGAGAACAAATCATAACATATTTGTAGCCACATCAAAATATTTTAAACAATAAAAAGGTATAAATTTAATAAAATAATTTCACATCTAGGAAAAAAAATGACAATTTTTTTTTACACAAAATAAATCCCCGTTAGAATAATATCACACATTTTTTGATTTTAGGTTTATTGAAAATATAAAACACACATTTTACTTAAAGTTATTTGCATTCAAATGTATATTATTATGGCATAATACAAACAATATTTTATTTTTACAGAACCACAATGCAAAAATACTTTATGTCAATTATCTTACAAATCACAATAATTATAAATATGACAACTCTGTTGGAGTTGCATTTTTTTGCAGCCAGCTCAAAATATTTTTCATTCTATTATCAAAGCTTTGGATCTATAGAGTCACGTGACTTTTACTCAGTGCAGCTTGGATGGATGTTGTTGTAAAATGTGTACATAACTGCTGTTTGTGCAAAGACTGCAGGTCTATTCTGCTTACTCTCTGTGTTGATTCTTGAAACTTTTTGTTGTTGTCATCTTGTGCAGATGAGAACCCTGAGTTCTAACTTGTGGTTCTGTCATCAAAGACAGAACAACGTTGAGGATTTCTTCTAACTCTTACCAAACTTCTTCTTTGAATCACAGAGGAGCGGGAGACTGTAGGAGATGACAATAATCAAATTCACAACCACACTCAGCAGTGCTACACCCGCCGAGTTTGAAAGCGTGATTGGAATTGAGTTTTGGAGGAGCCAGGGCCGGCGCAAGGCCATGTCCCGTTCCGCCGCCTTCATCTGGAAGTGTGTGCCGAGGACGCCGCACACGTGGAAGAGTTGGTGGCTGTGGCCTGCAGAGGGAGCCATAGAGTTATGTTACGGTGCAGCAAGTAAGCAGATACTTAAACGTGGAACTGGTTACAGAAGAGTGCAGACAATAATGTTGAAACATAATATGACTGAATGTAATTTGTCTGAGGTGATTATGTTAGATGTTAGATGAAACGAAAAATTACAATTTTCTGTAAACAAAATTACATATTTTGTTTTGTTTTTGTTTTGTTGTTAATATTTTCTTGAATGTATTGATCAGTCGGGTATATCTAGAAGTGAGCTATTTGTTGGTATAACAGCATATTAATAGGTTGCAATCTTAAATGATGTCAATTTGACTTGAACACAAGTTTGTTTTGTTTTAATTTTAAATATGTGCCTTTTTCTACACTACTTTCTACACACACTCACTCACTCTCACACAGTAACTCTACTAGCATATCATGCATTGGTGAACAAATCCCTGTACATGAACAACTCTTCAGGTTTCTCTTCTACTGTACCTATGTAGTCGAAGCTTCCAGGTGCCAGCCGCTCAGGTAAGTGTGTGGCAAACAGGAAGCCTGTGAGAAAAGCCAAGGTGATGTGATAGTAGTGGAGGAGGTTGGTGTCGTTGGCTGTGCAGCCGTCTCCTTCACATAGAAACACCTACAAACACAGACATCATTATTGTTGTTGTTGTCCATTTGTACAATTTGTAGCAGTAGGAGAAATCTATTGTATTGATATATGTGTCTGTGTTTAGCTAAGTTAAGCTTCTGTAGCACCTAGCTGCAGAATTTAAAGTAATATATAATGTTGGTCAACTTGATATATATTGACCAACAATATATATAATGTTGGTCAACTTGAAGGGGAAACAGCTAATTCAGTATCTATATTTTTAGTTTTATCCCATGCAGTATAAAGTCAAGGACTAAATATAGACATGTTAGCTAATGTGGGCAGTATCAGTAGACAGTATGTCCACACTCTCCTGACTGGATGTGTTGGGTGTGAGGTACACAGACGCGTGCCTACCCTGTAGAACAGAGGAATGTTGTCAAACAGGTAAGGGTAGGCGAAGGCAAAAACTCTGAGACATTTG